AAAAAAAGCAGCGCTGTTTTATCATACTATACTAGATACATTTGAAAGTTCTGTTATAATGCTACTCTGTGCGGTCGTCAACGTTCTATTAAAACGCACAACATATTAAAGCGTCTTTGGTGTTTCCATGTTTTCTACAAAACAAAACCGGAAATCGAGGGGTTGTAACGTCATTGGCAGGCGACACAATGACACTATGGACACGGTCCGTTAAAATTGCTTATTTCTCTGGATTTAAACATTCTTCGAAACATTTGGGATAATGTAAGTACACAAGTCAGCAAAATATATAACACTGTTCTAGTGGTTTTTGGATATTTTAATAAAAAAATCTTACATATTGTAAGATTTATACTTTAAGTAGCTGTATCACAGGGTAATGTAAAGTCAGATGGTCATTATCACAAAATAGACCTTAGATGAAAACAAGTTGTAAGGGTTTATTGGCTAAAACAACTGGCAAACAAATGAATAAATAAATAAATAGTCCTTATAATATGAAAAACAACTGGCCTAGCAACAATAAAATTAAAATATTAATTCGATATTTATTAGAATAATTAGATTTTTTTAAACTATTTTTATTAGTTGTTTTCTGCTGTATCTGGCTCTTTGTGTCGGTTATCAGTTTCTTGCTCTTTGTGATGTGAGGGACATGAAAGTATCAATGCTATGTAGGACTTTAAGTTTTCAGAACTTTATTTTAAGGTGCTTTCATTTTTTTTTTATGTTATAATACTTTCTACGACCCCAGCACACTATAAAGAGAAAAATAATAAAATAATTTCAAATTAAATACATTTCAGGATTAAAAAAAATATATTTACTTAGTATTCATGAAATAGAATAGGTCATAAGTCAGTTGGTTAATATCACACACACACACACACACACAAGCCCATCAGGGTGATCAAGTATCACCCTAAAGGAGTTTATTTTGCAAAAATAACTGACTGACTCTACATTATCCTGTCCCGCATACCAAATAAATAAAATCAAAATATAAATTGCTTGATATGTATGTCTTAAAAGAACAGTTCATTACTCGACAGAGGAAAAACTGGCCTAGCAACAACAAAATTACAATATTAATTTAGACCGTATTATTAATCTGAAAAAGAAAAAGTTTTCTCTCTCATTTAAATAGGTCGACTCCTTCCAAAATATTACGTTGCTGTAAATAGCAGTGAGGATAATGACCCAACATTACTTACTGGGAAAAAAAAACATTTGTTGTGGTTATTAATAACAAATGCAATTATTTATGGAGCATTTGTGGTGTTGTTGTTTTTTCTTTCTTTCATTCTACCATTTTATAAAAGCAGTAAGCCATTCAAGGCTGTGCACAAAGTGATTTTACCACGACTAAAGGGGTTAATGCCTAAAAATCCCCACCTCAACTGTAGCTTGTTGCGTTATTCAGTGACTGTGCGCGTGCCGTTACCTTCAGTACTCTCCAACACAAAGCCCCCTAAAGCAGAAAGCTGCTGACATGTAAAGGCCAAACATTTCACATAATTCAAAATGACTCATTAGAAAATCTTCCTTCGTCATTTCTCATGAGGACAGCGTACCGCAGAGGCCCAAAACACTTTCCCTGTCAGTCCTTCAGCGGACTCTCTGTCAGTTCACTCTCTCCACGGACTTACTTGTCACCCAATATCGGAGTGCCTGAGAAATCACCTTTTGTCCTTCGGTTTCTTTCCCTCGTAAGTGTCCTAATCTTTGACAGGACAGCTAAAAATAAGCACCGAACTGCACAATTAGCCATTATGGCGTCCCATAATTCCCCCCGAAATTCGCAGCATCCAGGAGTGCTCATCAACACCTTGGACGTGGCGGTCAAATTGAATAATAAATGTTTAATGCCGGTTCGGTCGCAGTCAGTCAACAGTCAAACAGTCTGTGGCTAGGGAGACGACGAGGTCATTAACCCTGCCATTTGCTTAACAAGCGCTAATTACAGCTGACATTTCCACAGGGCGCTTCCGAGCGTCAGCTGCCTGGACTCATCAAGAGGACACGGTCATTCTTTACACACACACACACACACACACACACAATAATGAAATTAAAACAGAGTACCAACAGTTTAATAGAATCCAAAAATCAAATATACAGCGGGAAACTCCCACGTTTCCTCTTTTTCTTTAAGGCTAAAAGCAGTGTGGACTACAAAAGCACTGATTAAGCAAGAAGAACCCAATGACTCGAGGATTTTGGCATTTTACGCAGAGAGGAAAACACAAATAAAAGAGCTCTGGCGTTAGGTCGCACTATGAAGCTGCTACAGAGACTCATTTGCATTGCAAACTGTGCACACAATCATGACGCTATGAGCCGCATAAACCACAGCACTGCTCTTTCACATCTACATTATCAAAAAATTACTCTCTCCACAAGTAGAATGACTAATACAGGGAGAAGCACCATTTCTGTTTGCAGACCCAAGGCAAATATTTGACGCTAAAATTCTAGAGTACATTTTGAATAAATCAAAAAGAGAACGAAAGCATATCTTTCAAACACAGGCCCGATGGATGAAATGGATAAATGAAAGGAGGAATAATGCCAAGCAGGGAGCCCAAAATGGAGAGAAGGAAAAAAAGCAGGAAATCCCAGGACAAGTCACTGGAAGGAGACAAATAACTGAAGACGTAGAGGACATGTCTATAAATAGACATGGTGGCCGTACCGGCAGGGCGCTCACTTTTTCTTTTCTTTCTTTAAAAAAAAAAAAAAAAAGAATGGAAACAAAGAAAAACCATCAAGTATACCAAACACAGCTGACGCGTTCAAAATTAAAAGGGCAGAAAAAAGTAAAAAAACAACATGAATTCACAAGTAAGATTCACAATATGTTAATACTCATTGTTTGTACCATATGCAGATCAAAAACCTGTGGTTTAATGTGTATTTGCATAAACAAGGTATGAATGCACATGTAGGCAATAGATGTAATACAATCAGACGTGTTTGAGAAATCCAGACTTTTTAAAACATTCATGATGAAAGATGTCCAGAAGAGTACAAGTCAACATGAAATGGCATGTGCACCCAGTTTAAGTGGAACAGAACATTCACATACAAAACGCAGGGTTGTACTTTAATATTTTATCCATCAGGAATTGGATGATGGAAAGTGAGTGTTGCATACTGTAGGGAGAATGAATGGATTGTAAAGGACTGTGCTCCTGAAACACCATCGGATCCGACACTGCTGCAGACTCACACCCTCCTTCCTCAAAGCCATTCTCATGGCTGAGACAGATTTATGGGTGCTCTAATAAAAACGATAGAAATTTGCTTTTAAGGTACTGTACACTACCTTTCAAAAAATTTTTTTTGAAGGAAATTAATACTTTTATGCAGCAAGGATGCATTACATTGATCAAAAGTGACAGTAAAGTCTTTATGATGTTATAAAAAAAAAATCTATATCAAATAAATGCTGTTGATTTTGGACTTTCTTTTCATCACTGATAAGAAATGTTTCTCGAGCAGCAAATCAGCATATTAGAATGATTTCTGAAGGATCATGTGACACTGAAGCCTGGAGTAATGATGCTGCAAATTCGGCTTGGCATCACAGGAATAAAATACATTTTAAAATATATTCAAATAGAAAACGGTTATTTTAAATTGTAATAATATTTCACAATATTACTGCATTTTTTTGAGCAAATAAATGCAGCCTTGGTGAGCATTACAGACTTCCTTTAATGACAATGAAAAATCCTAGAGCACAAACTTTTGAACGGTAGTGTATTTATTCTTAATCATGAAAAAAATTATATATCATTATATTATAAAAATGGTTCAACGAAATATTTCCCTTTCAATTAGCCTTCGGTAAGCAATCTAACAGCTTGGCATTGCATTAACTGATTAAGAAAAGCTAGCGCAAGAGATAATATGTTACTCTTTTGATCAGACATTGAGAAAGGGGGACAAGTCTGAACAAAACCCTTATCTTGAGAGCCGGACATTGAGGCTGATGGTCAAGTTCACTCTCAAGAGCATCTTCCTGGTGCTCTTGAGTCAACATTGAATCAACATTATTCAATAGCCTATAAGGTGACAGCAGGAGAAAAGAAAAGTTCGTCCAGAGGCAGAAGATTAGTGTGTGCACTGATGAACCGCACACAATAAGACCAGCAATAAGTATTAATAAAGTAAATGGTGTCCATTTTGATTTCATGTTGACTTGAACAAGATTCATTAATACAATCAATTCAGACATTTATGACATTCAAAAGACTAAAACAGGGAGTTAATCTGCAAGTCCACTCAACGCGTCTCATGAATAATCACTGCTCTATCTCCTCACCAGCGTCAGCAATCTCAACCCTCGACAATAAGTCACCTCTTCATTAGCACACTTTTAAAGCGTGACGAGCAAACTAATTATCTCTGGAGTGAATATGAGCTCAGTAATGTATGCAAAGACATTAAGACATACACTGAAAGAAAAAAATACATTCCAGTTCACCTCAAAATAAGAGTGCAGCACCGCAAATGCCTCATCAAAAATAGATTGTAACATTGAGACCGTATGGCGCAGGTGGTTTCAAATGTCACTGACGAAAGAATAAAGACAGCGAGCTGACAAAATGTACATTATTCAAGCGTTTAACATCAGCAAACTCCACAGCGCTGAGCTTGAAGTTCACCGGCATCACATTTAACTGATTCTGACACCTCCATCTAATCAATACACTCCACTTGCTTCAATAATTAAAGCAGAAAGACACTCATTTAATTCATTATTCAGATTATCCATGCAGGGTTTTGGTCCAAGTTATATGAGATGATTAGAGATTTTAATGAAAACATTTGCTTTTGATAAGTCGGAGTCATTCATTTCACATTACACTCCGATTTATAAAGATCACACATCTAGTTTGGAAAGATTTAGAAGGTGAACAATTAATCACCAATCAAAATGTATCAGCCTGCAGTTAATAAATATACCGAAAGGTGAAACGAGGGTTCAAAGGGAAAAAGGAGATAATCAGATCATCTACATCTAATTAGCATAGACATCTGCATAATTCGGTTGCCCTGGGAGATTGAATGCATGTGCGAATGGTAGATGCCTTTTCACAGTGCTTCAGACATTTCATTTGCTGATTTCCAGCAGTATTTAAGATTATGATTTGTGCCGTTCGGAGCGTGTCTGTCAGGTATCGCACCCATCCACGCTTCAGTACCACACAGTGAAAACCAAAACCCTTCAGTCTGCTTCTAAGTCAGTAGTTTCCTTTCAACACGACTCCAGTCCTGTGGTCTCATAGGCTGACCTCATATCACACCGATTCATTCTTTATAAAGCCATATTAATATTTCACCGCAGTTTGATTCAGCCATCTTTGCTGAAACGTTACCTCAGTAGTAGTCGAATGCTAATACTAAAGCTCTGAAAGTTCTCATTTTCTAAGAAATAATTGTGCAAGGGCTTCATATGCATACAAAGCCACTGTTTCAGGATTGTTAAAATTCAGTCTTACAATTCTAAAAAAAAAAGAAACGTAAAAACCCCAAAACAAAACCCAAACACATCGCTCAGGCGGTTGCATATTGATTCTTCGAATCCGTAACGCTCAGCCGCACCCCTTGAGAAACGACCCTTACGACTGCCATAGTTTCATGTATTGCAGAGCTTCAATAACACAGAGTGATTACGGACGGGAATCGACCCGTGTACCTGTGTGCGGTACAATCAATGTGGCAATGAGCAAAGTGGCCGAGGAGATCACATTATGGTCTAATAACACAAAACACGAGAACATTGGCGAGGGGGGACAAAAAAATGAAGATCTGCCAAGAAATAAAAACGAGGGGTGGAGGTAACAAATAGAGGAAGATGCGGGGAAGCATAGGATGCCACGTCCTTCTGTTTTTAGTTTGATACGTTTACATAAGCGCTTTCTGTTCCTCAGCTCTTGGCATCTCACTGTCAGTTATCTTCTGAAGTCATCAGTAGGCAAATTGAACTGTCAGCCATCAAGATCTCTGGGAGTTTTTTTCCCCAAAATATTCGTTTTGTCCGTGGTTGTTTACGTCGTCTCGTTCTTGATCGTGAATTGTTACAGACGATGACACAAATTGGACGTCATTGGAGAAAATTGGTGAGCTCTATCTTCGCTGTGTCGGATTAAACCGAGCAAAGAAGCGGCGTTTGGACTGATCCTGTTGTTAGGTCAGATCATCGTCTGGGTTTTGCAGGGTCACGCTGTGGTCAGCTTACGGGTTCTCATCTCTTGTAGTGGCTTGGAGCGTCAGCGAACATGTATTTGAGTCTGTAGGCCTCTGCCAGTAGCAAACCCACCTCTTCGTTGCCCCAGTGTATTGTGGGAAGGTTCTGCAGGAGCATTAGCAGGCTCTGAAAAGACATAAAAACACATTTCATAAAACTGGATCATTTAGTAGCTTTCATAGAGCTCTGCCAATCTGCTGGTAGCAGCTTTCCACCACAAAAATACTGTTTCCTGGCTATTATCTATTCCTTAAAATGCATTTTTACTCTTCTGAACTGGAAATGCTTGTAGTCACGGCATGATTATAATGTTAGGATAATGTGATTCATGATTGGCGCTGCTCTTAGGTCGCTGCTTGTGCATTTAGCACGTGTATGCGCACGAGTGTGTGTGGGCTTTCCGCCACCTACAGCTGCTATAAGTGCACAAGAGCAGATCTATCGTAATCAGCTTCACTCCGTGTAAGATCAGATCTCAGGTTCTTCGGTCTGGGAGTTTTAGCGCAGTAGCATGAAGCTGAAAATCATTGATTTTCAAGTTGCTAACCAGAACGCCTTTGAGCTTTGGGTTAAAAATGGGTGCTCATCACAACAGCCTATATATATATATATATATATAGACTGAACAGGCTGGCATTACATCACATGTGTGTGCATGAATATAAACTGACTAAACAGACTAACTAAAGATGTTTAACGCTGTTAAATTTACTTAAAACCATTACGGCATTAACCTAATTCTATATGACAATGGTTTGTGTGATTTATAAGCACCGTCTGAATTGTCAAAAGCACAGGTGTCTTTGTTCAATTCTCAGGAACAATAATCCTGTAAACAGAAGCTCATTTATCAGTAAATAATGGAGAAACGCATCAATAGTGGCTAATTTATTTATAAATCAAATCCAGATGGGATATTTGCAGTCTTTGTATGCTGAAAATGAATTACTATCAAAGCTCAACAAGTCTGAATTATCACCTACAAATGAAACTCACTGTCAACTTGCTATTTTATGTGCGGTTAAAACACCAGAAGACTGTAGCAACATCTACAAAACAGCTTTGATATTTGGTGAGAAAAGTATATATTTGGGTCTAAAAAACAGACTACATTAAATTCGGGATGCAAAATCTAATTTAAACTGGATTAAAAAAATAAATAAAATAAAATAAATCCTAAAAAGTGTTTGAATCTGAAAATTCAAAACCAGTATGTCATTAAAATGTGATAATTACAATATAAAATATTTAATAAAATATTATTTAAACAAAATATTAAAATATTATCTTAATATAATATCTTGAAATATTCTTAGTAATAATAATTATTAATAATATTTTAATATTAATATGATTAATATTTAATAAAATATTATGAATTGTTTTTATTTATATATAATTACTAATATTAAAAATCAAATAAGAACATCTGTGATAGTGATCATGTGAAAATTCTTAACATATAAGACATATTAGAAAATTTGTCTTAAAAATATGTTGTTATTATTATTATGTCGTTTTTAAAATCAGAAAAAACTAATTTCTGAAAGTGATCATGTGAACATGAGAACCACAGATGATTAAATGCGATAATTTTAATCCATTGACAACCCAAGTTTAAACACATGCTCAAAAGACTGTTCATCAAATTCTTCTTTACCCGACCTGACAATGAGCCAAATAATAAACGAGAGAATCAAAGATGGAGCTGAGGCGTGGAGATCCTTCGAAAGAGAGCGTGAAAGAGCGAGAATGGGGGGCGAATAACAGAGCGTTCTCGTTTCGCGGGCGCTGAGGTGTGGTGAATCCGCAGGCCTGTGAAATTTGGTTGCAGCGAGGCTGCTCCACTGGAGGGCCAATTATTCCGATAGTCTCGGGGTATAAGTGACGGCCGGGACGCTTTTCAGTGATGCATGCACGTGTGGGAAGCGCAGACGGTCACATGTAAACGACACGCGCTTCTTCACGGAGCTCAGCGGCCGTGACACACGCGACATGCGGGAGATTGTCGGTACCTGAAAGTCCAACATGGAGAGGATCTCTTTGCGCCATTTGATGAGGAAGGCTGCGCACACGTAGAGGTGGAAATGGGAAAATCCCTCTGACTCGGCCTGAAGATCAAGAGCAGACACAGAGAGAAGAACACACATGCTTGCATTAGTAAGTAGTCATTAAGCAGATGATTATCCAAAGTGACATACTGCACACTTATTAGAGACTCGGCCCCTGGGGTTAAGTGCCTTTCTCAAAGGGCAAAATAATGATGGCTTGAGCTTGCAGGGATTGAACCAGCAACCTTCCAGTTACCAGTTTTGAACTTTAAAGCAATAGTTCACCCAAAATGAAAAATTCTGTCATCATTTACTCACCTATTGTGTTGCTCTAAACCAATGAAAGCATATAAGTGGGGTTCCTTTTAAGGCTTTTTTTAAAGGAATTTTGTCTTTGTTTACTTTTGAATTGTTAACTGAACATCTTAAGGACATTTTTCCTCATAGTCATGTTTGGCTTGCTGACTGCTGATAATTAAGGCATGATTTTCTGAAAGCTGCTTTAAAATATGGATTTTTAAAAACATTTTTACACATTTGTTTTCCTTTCAACAGCACTTTATGAAAAAACAACATGAGAGTCAAAAGTATGTACCATATGTGCCATATTTAGAGTCTCCTAAATTAATACCATAGCTTAGAAGAAATTCAGACAGACTGAAATTAAAGTCATTATTCACCATATTCTGAGAACTAATATTTTGAACAGACGTGAACATAAAGATTTGAGAGATACAAAAGGAAAGCAAATAATGATTAGAATTTCGCTGTTTCTCACCAGTGCTGCTATTATTAACTAAAAATGTTAAAAATCATTTTTTGTTAATCAAAATAAAGTTGATGTATGAAAAACAAAAAAAACAAAAAAATAAAATAAAAAAAATTACAAAAATTAGAAAAGCTACCTTGGCAATTAAGTTGAAGTTGAGTTACTAAAATTACTAAAACTGAAAATAAATAAATAAACATTAGCTAAAATATTTAAACTAAAATTGACAGATGCACATAAAATGACTAAAACCTAATTTTAAATTAAAAAGAAAACTGAAAATGTAAAAGCTAATTCAGAATATTAATAAATACTATAATATTACATAAATAATACTAAAAGAACACTGCTTCATCCACAAAGGTGACTTATGGAGAAGACTTGGCAAACAGCACATGAGTCATATGAGCCACTTTCATTATGCTTTTTTTTGTGTGCCTTTTTGGACATCGATAAACATTGTCAATATGAATGGTTGCTGTATATCCACGATCTGCAAGAAGATTCTTTTGCCTTTCTGGTTAGAATAGCAGAGCAAGCACAAAGACATTATGAAGGAGGGGATAAAAGATATCAGGTCACGGCATGGGCTGGATTTGAACCCATCTCCCAGTTAAAGCTGGGATATATATTTTGATTTTGTTGGCTTTGCCATGGCTCCAATGACTGCACATTCCTTTAGCCAGAAACAAAAACAACGGTTTACTTCCATCATGAGTAATAAGAGTTTTTAGACAACACATATTATTCATTAAATTATTCAGCTACAGTCGAGCGCCTACACAGAGCTCCTAATGTAGTTTTACCATCTACCTAATTTATTGGATAGGGAATTAGGTTGTGCTAGTTATTCCCAACGTATCTAAAGAAGACACAACCCAATTCGCCTCTCCGCTCCTCTTCCCAGCATCCCCCTCTACTTGTGCTGTGTACAGTGTGGTATATTCAGCCACTTGAGAGACAGCGAGCGGTTATAAATAGCTTTGTTTACTTTCTTTCTGTTGGTCCCTCTTGAAGTGAGAAAACAGGAGGAAAAGAGGAAGAAAATGAGAAAGAAGAAAAAAGTTGGATTTTATGAAGGCACAAAGAAATTGCAAGAAACAAGAGCAAATCTAGGAGTTCAGTTTATCGCTTCTCAAATGATGAGATGTGTTGGTCCAGAGGTGTTTCTTTCTAGAAGTGTGACGAGTCACCGGTTCGAATCTTGACAATTCATCTTTCTGAAAGTAACAACTTGCCAGTAGATATACTGTGTATCAGGAACTAAAAAGCTCTTTTATACTGTGAGAAAATATCAAGAGTGAGACAGGATGTTTCTAGAATGGAAAACTTAAAATCTTATCTGGAAAATAACTGTATATAATTTTTTTTTTTTAGAATTTTCTATCTGCATAAATATGATCTGCTGTTTACGTTCACTTAAGACGTAATCAACTGTGTTTACGTGAATACTCGTCAAAACGCGGACAATTTGACAATTTTGTGTGTAATTCTCCGTTCATGCGACGCGAAAGTACTCACTCGCTGTGAGATGCGCTTTCTGTGTGTGTATGCTTCAGTGTCTGCGCTCAGAAAACCTGACCGAATTGAGTTCTCTCATGTCATCAGATTTATCCATATGTCTGCTCTTCTCTTACTCCCACATATTGACATTTTTGAACGTTTTATGCGACGTGCAGCAAGTGTATGTTACCTTATGTCCCGCTGGTTCATATGTACGCATCTAACCTCCGAACCACGCAGCAGATTCGTTCTGAATGAATCTCATCCCAAATCGTCCCTCCCTAACATTTTCGTCTCGTTTTTATTCATTGACGAAAATG